TATTTATTTTCTTCTCTAATTTAAATAGGAATCCATAACTTCTTATATCTGCAAACAGATCTAGGAAAAATACTTTTTATAATTTAGTTGGTTTTAATCTATACATTTCGAACACATCTCCATGTAGATGGTAATTGGTAAACACATATCTTCACTAACTGATAGACATTCTGGTATAAATGACTGTAAAAATAATTTTGTATCAAGAGTGCAGCCTACCAATAAATTTTCGGAGCAATGTTCTCTCCGTTCCTTTATGCATTAGGGGTTTTCAGGAGTCGTCGCTTAACAATGAGTTTTTTTCTAAAAGCGACACTAGTGAATTCAAGAAGCGCATTAAAAACATCTTCGACCCACAAAACTTTTTGTGGATTAACCATCATTTTCACGCTACGACTCACTTCCATAATGCCATAATCCTCTATATTGGTGCGCACTGTGGGTATAATATAGGGGGTATACGTTTCCGAAAACTGTGTATAAATTACGCACCTATATATTTTTTAAGAAAAACTATAGGATATGTCGTTGTAGGTATAGACTTCTATTATCCTACATATATATAGATGTAACCCTTGACAGGGGATATAGACTGATTGGCGAGAGAAATTAAAAAAAAGTTTCTGGGGCATTGGGAGGTAGATGGGGAAACGTAAAAAAATTCGCCGATTACGAAAATCTACCTCTTTTCTCCAGCTAAATTCGTTTTTTTTTGTAATTCGATTTTGAAAGTAAATAAAAGTGAAATTTTTGACACATTTCCAAATAAATTACTTGATGGACGTTGCCCGTTCGTTTGGTTTAAACGGAACTACACCCAAATAAGAGACTTTTTTGTTATTTAGACAATTTCGTCGTTTTTAATGGACGAGAATAAAAGAAAATGCAATAATACGCAAAAATGTACGTTTCTTGGTCATTAGTACTTACCAAAAACGGAGAAACGATCGAATTACTTTTAAAAAAACTACACTTATGACAGCGGCGATGAACAAATTTCAAACTGTCAAAGTTGTCATTTCCGTTACTACGGGATACATTGACATTTAGTTTGATATACAGGGTGTTTTTTCATTAAGAAAATCGGAAAAATTGATATACGGAGCGTTTTTAACATTAAATGAAAAATTATTTTCAATTGAATTGAAATATAGTACAGGGTGACTCGTATTTAAGGAAATGTTAATTATACATAAACCGAGCGAGCGAAGCGAGCGAGGATCCGGCTATATAACTGCCTTTGCGTAGAACGCCGATAGGCGTTCGAGCTGCGGGTCTATTCGGCAGAGCCCATCGTTAATTAGAGCGATTTAGTCGAGCTCGCGCAGCGAGCGAGACCTTAGTTATTTAACAGCCTTTGCGTAGGAGGCCGTCAGGCCTCCGAGCTGCGGGTCTATGCGGCAGAGCCAATCGTTAGGTACAACAATTTAGTCGAGCTCGCGCAGCGAGCGAGACCTTGGTTATTTAACGGCCTTTGCGTAGAACGCCGATAGGCGTTCGAGCTGCGGGTCTATGCGGCAGAGCCCATCGTTAACTACAGCGATTTAGTCGAGCTCGCGCAGCGAGCGAGACCTTAGTTATTTAACAGCCTTTGCGTAGGAGGCCGTTAGGCCTCCGAGCTGCGGGTCTATGCGGCAGAGCCAATCGTTAGGTACAACAATTTAGTCGAGCTCGCGCAGCGAGCGAGACCTTGGTTATTTAAAAAATTGATACACGAGGTGTGGTTAATTTCCAAACAAAAATTCAATCGCACCGAGCTCGCGAAGCGAACGAGGATCCGGCTAGCAAACTGTCTTGCGGCGAAGCCGCCACCATAAGAAAGGGGGGTTGAAAGGGGTCTCCGCCCCCTTCCGAGCGTTCAGCGAGTAGTGTATAGTATTCACGTAAGATGTCAAATTGATGGTCGACGATTCCAGTTCAAATATAGCAGAAGTTACCTATAACTTTAAACTTTTGCCTCTCTCACCTATATACCTATTTTCAAAATGTATTTTTATAGGACGTCCCAAAAATTATTTCTTTCAACACAGGTTTATGTATAGTGTGCATGGGTTATTGAAAGGCCTATAGGATGGATATATGGTATAGATATGTTAACATTTCGATTATTTCGCATTCTAACAAAACGTTAAGTTTACAAGTAAAAACGGAATTATCGCAGCCAATCTCTTCCGGTTTTCTTTTGTGCACGAGTGCATTGAACGGTTCGGGGGGCATTGACGGGAATGGTGTCGCAGAGGTGCGAAATATGTCGATCCCTTATCCGTCCGGCAATGGCATTAGGAGGATTAGGAACGCTACATTACTCGCGCACAAACACTGTTTACCTAAGCTCCGATATGTCGATAAACTGGATAGCCCGTAAGTCCCCGGCTTTATTTAACACCCTGCCTATCAGCTGGAATGTTGAATAGGTATTTTTTAGGTGGAAATATAACCGAGTTTTAACTAAGTAGGTTCCTATATTGATGCTATTAAAGAATATATTTAGATATCTAACAAATGTAGACCTCTACATTTACATAATTTAACTGTTTTTGTGGATCTATAAATTTCCAAAATTCCTTGTTTAATGTAGGCTTCTAAAATAAAAAAATGTATTATGGGTGTACCATATTAAAAAATAATTAATTTTAATTAATATTGTAGGCATAGAGATACATCTAATCGTATATATTATGCAGACTGGTGAATTATTAAAACATACATTATCAGACTAATTAAATAAACATTGTAAATTTCATAAAAAAGAGGCATACATAGGTACATAGGTTAGCAGTAACACTTCAATTATATCGTATATACAGGTACTTACATATACCGATATAAGTCACATTAAATTTTATGTCATTGATCACCCAATGACGACACTAATCGGATTCAATTATCGATCGCCTTTTTTCTCTAATAATTAAATTAAAAGGGTAATTAACGTTGGAATTGTGGCGCTGTTTACTTAAATCGAGACGCAACCAAACGTGTAATTAAACAGGCTATCGCAACTAATTGCGTGTGCGGGTAAAAAGTGGAAAAATAAAATCGCTGTGGCCTTAATAATTCTTTGTGACGTTACTCCTGTGTACTGTCGTGCGCCACTTTCCTCGATTTAAATTTATTAAAATGCAAGCTTATTTGATGGGTATGCCAAAAACTTCTAGGTAAATTTCTAAATGATTTTAATTATCATTGGTTTAAAGTTTAATTCAATTTAATTCACTTCAGTGTCTTCGTCTACTTCATGAAATTAATTAGGAATATAACGGAGCATTTTGACAATCGTTAATGAATTCCTGAGAAACTCATTGGCTAAGGTCGTATTCTCGAAACACCAGTCGGATGAGTCGAAGTATCCTAATTAATATGGATAATGTCATTAAATGGATCAAAATTAGTTTTTGGTAACCAGAGTCGCAGACGTTCGTCCAATTGAAAATAATTAAGAATTCTTGTAAGGCAATAAAGAGAGTTCAGTTTTCAATGCGACTTTTATTCCATGATAAGGAAACAATTATTGTAATCATAAGCATCAAGTGCGATAAAAAGAGCCAATTAAAATAATTTATATCCCCTCATTAGATTAAATTAAATTAATTTTGATTAGTTCGATATTGAACGATTTTAAATAGTGGTAATAACATAATTACGCAAATTAATAATTAAATCCCATAATGCCTCCCAAAGGTAAGTGTAATGTTTGCTACAAGATAATCTCATATTATCGATTTTTCAATAAGACATTTAATTTTCGATTTAACCATGATATTTTTTTAAATGTTTGAAATAGATGAGAGAGCGATGGACCTAAGGCCGACCGCTCACGGAGCAACTGTTTTAAAATAAAATTGTAAACCAGTTGATCTTGCAACTATTTTGCAACCTCGGCAATGTACATTAGTGTGGACCCGCACACAAGTCGATTCAAATGAAACTAGTTTGCAATGAGTTATAAACCAGTTGTTCCCGACCATTTCCCGCGGTCGCAGTCGCTTTGCAGTTTCGAGTTGCTTTAAATTCTTGCCAATTTCTGGTGTGATTCATTTGACATTCGATAAATTGCAATGGCAACTGATTGAAACTATTTTATAATAGTCGCATTCGTGTACGTACAGAAGTTTAATATTAGTTGTAAACTGGTTACAGACTAAACTAGATTGAAATCTTTATTTCAAAACAGTTGCTCCTTGAGCGGTGGGCCTTAGGTACAACCCGTCTTCAACCTCTTTGTATGTTTAATTTGATGTGGCAGATAAGTACTAAAAATCAAACTTAATTATACATCCAAGGAAAATTTTTATTTATTAATATCCTCTTCGACCTTTTTTTCACAAGTACGTTGCGTGTCTACTTAATTTCGCAAAAAAAGTACGTGGGTATACTTCGAAGTAAATAACTATTTAAATAACAGCGCCGCCTTTTTCGCAACTAATGAAGTAGCCACTGAAAAAAATTTCCAATATTCTTGACCCTGCATTTTCGCAAATTATTGCCTGTCAAACTGTCAAAGTCGAAGACAGCTCTATAACCGAACGAAAATTACACACTCGCGTCGATATATGGGATGTAACAGCGACTCGTTATATTTAATTAATAAATTAGTATATTTAATTATTATTGAGTTTACATTGAGTACATCTTCCAAACAAAATCATTAAGCGAGTTTTTAACCTCTTAATTCTTAACCTCTAATAATTCTATAAAGGCAAATCATTAGGTATAAAACGTTTTAAATAAATTACTCCAATATGGAATTGGATTTGAAGAGTAAGAGCGGCCGCGACACGCGATCCATTTCAATAAGCGCCGAATTATTGCATTTTAGTTATTAATAAAAGTGGGCAAGAGTGGAAATTTAATTTTTTAAATTATACCCCTATGAATGGTTTAGGTGTAAAAGTTGAATTTTAAAAAATTATTGCTCTTTTTGCATGTCGAGCGACCCATGCACGCTATTTATAATGAATGAATTTCGTCAATAAAACAAGAATGTATGTAATATTTTCGTATAATATGTTTCATCAATATATGTACAATCGACAATCAATATAAATATATAATCATTTTATAATAAATCAAATAACATGATTTCCATCTACGAAATTGGATATACGCAACACATCTAATGAAATTAAATGTCATTTTTACTTCAGACCGGTGCATCGTTAAAATAGATTCAATTTGTGGTGTATTGAGCAAATATTTTTTTCTCAAATTATCTTTTCATTTGTATGATTGTGTGTGAAGAATACTTCATAAATCTAAATTAACGACGGTAGTAACAAAATTAAGTAATAAATCATGGTGCATTTTTTATAAATTGACTAAAATGCTCCTCATTTAAAACGCGCTTTAGATATTTTAGCCAGCTGGTTTTTAAGATAAAAGAAAACTGAAATTAAAAAATTTCAGTACCTACCTGTTATACTAACTAAATTTTTCTTAAAACAAAAAAATTACAAAAAAACGAGTATAGGTACCTACACAATTGATTCCATTTTAAAACCAAAAGTTTTCCTCTGTAGATAATTGTAAATGTTAATCTACATTAAATTTATTCCAATTCATCTTTGTAAACTAATGATTCAGAATGGAACTCTTTCTGGTTCGAAAATAGGACGCAAATTTTGATTTTTGAAATAAAAGATCTCCTTTTTGACTAGATAAATCCTTCTTCTTTTATTTTAAAATCCTAGGGCCAACAATTTTTTTAATCTAATATCGACAGTATCGACAAATTGCCACTGAACATTTAAAAGTAAGTTCATTACCCCGAAACTCTTACTTCTCTGTACAAGCGAATAAATATACATTATACATACATACATTGCAACGATATTTAAAGACGTCGCAGAAAAACCTTCCTTACGTCCGAAAAGCATTAAAGTTAAGCAAAAAAATAATTATTTATAGTATTACTAAAGTCAATTTAAAATGATATAGAACACGAACAAGAATTTTTACTGAAGAATTATCTATTGAAGATAAAAAAATATGGTACCCTTCTATACATACCTAATAGTAGATATTAATATTTTTTTTAGAAATCACGCAAGTCACATTTACATTATACCTGTCGAACACTATAAAGTTTAAAAAAAGTCAATTGAAATTAGTCAATGATATTTAGTAACATTTTAATATTTTTTTAATATCATCCATGCCAATTAAAACTGCATGGTGATCAGATGTAGAAAATTATCTAACAGCATTAATTTGAATCGAATGAATTATTTTATTAGCCACATATAGTCATATAAGTACTTTTTCCTTATGTTTCATAAAATTGTTTAATTAATAGGTATAAGTTGATATTGGTAGGTACAAAGAAAAGTAATAAATGAATCGTATCATTGGAAACGTACTCATCATTTACTATAAAAAAAAAACATTACCAAACGCTATTAAAAAAAGGAAAAACTTGCAGTTTTAATTTGTAAGTTAAAATGAGCTCCTGCTGTTTTTTATGGAAGTTTTTATGTGATAATTGTGAAATTGATCATAAAAACTGTATACTTAGTAATAAGTGTAATATAACAATACTTATCAAAATCTACCTTTAAATATTTGAGAATATACGAATTATTCAGAAAACTGAGTTTTCTAATGTTTGACTCATCTTTCCGTATTGAATAATAGGTACAATTAAGGATCTATCCTATTATAGAATATTATGATTGTTGACATAATTGTAAAATCAACGTAAGAGTTACCTAGAAATCTTTTTAATGTATTCTAAACTCTCCCTCGCCCTCGCCCTCGCCACCTCATTAGGCTACATAATTAATTCGACCAAAAATTAAAGTGTATACCTGCATATTATGTTTATTGCTTTTTCGAACGACAATATTGCATCCTGCTTTACCGCATCGCGATCGGACGACATCCGCTATTTAATTGAATCGTTGCATCGCAATTTATCATCATTAAGTAACCGCGCGAAAGCCGTCGTACGAATTCGACTGGAAAAAAAAACGCGTCGCACTCGCCGATTTTTCTGCGACGCCTGCAACCTAAACTACACAACCTATTCACAAATCCTCCAGGCGAAAGGCGGGTATCACGTCAGCCTGGCCGGCGAGAACGGCCTGTGCAACGCCGGCCCGTTGTTGTTGGGGCTCGGCGGGGCGATCCGCACTATTCCCCCGTGCGAGTAGCCCCCGTGGAGGTTGGTGTGCGGCGACGGCGCCTCCAGCCGCCCGCCCGACGTCACTTGGATCCGCAGCGGCGTCGCGATCTGCGCGTGGTTCAGCTGGTGGCCCAGCCGCAGCGGCAGCGGCGCCTCGATCTTGGAGTTCTCGTTGTGCTGCATTCGCAGATTGTCGGCTATCCGCAGGTTCATGGGCGGCGAATGCTGGAGGGACGTTTGCGGCGGCGAATCCACCTGTAACCAAACACATAATCTATGTAACATAATGCTGATTTATCGTAAAGAAACTTTTAGTAACTACAGAATGTAATATTGAAGAAATGGACCTTACCTTTCTGCTGTCTTTATCGGTGCTGTCGACGTCAATGGGGCTTTCGTTGGCGGTCAGTCTCAAATTGACAGCCGCGTACGTGGAATTCCCGTCGACGTGGATGGGCGAGGCCGAGTTTCTGTCCTTCGATCGTTCGATTCGGAAATTGGGCGAGAACGTCGGCGGGGTGCGATTGCCGCCGAAGCGGAACTGAGCGGGCATGGGACCGGGCGAGTGCGCGCCGAACCGGAACGACGTTATGGGATTAGGCGACGATCGCCCGAATTGCAGCGGCGAGCTCAGCGGCGGCGAATGCGCGCCCAACGAGATGTCCGAGTCGCTGTCGGACGGCGTCGGGCTCAGGGCGGGCTGTCTCGCCGAGCCGCCGTGTTGGGCCAGTTGGGCTGCCAGTTGTTGCTGTTGCATCCTGGAACAAAATGCCAATGTTGAGCTTGCTAGTTCGTATTGAATTAAAGTGCTTTATATGAATTATAATTTAAGAAGATTGCTTGCTAATTATCTTATCAACGTGTCTTGAATATCTCTATATCCTGCGAAATTCTAGAACTCAAAAGATTTGGTGGTGGATAAAATTTACAATATTATAGCATAAAATCAATAATTGAATTACTCGAGGGTGACTAAATTTGGCACCTATTTAATAAAGTTATGAAGCATCTTGATGACAATTCCAACTAAAGTTACAATCAATTTGAGCACTTCCTTTTCAACATAACGATTTTTTATAAACTTTAATCTTCCTATGCATTCCACGTCGACGACTAAAGACTTCTGACATTTACATATCCATCAGAGGATTATATTTAGTGAGTGGCCGACTGTCTTCACCTTTACAACGGATATTTAGGGGTAATTTGCTGGCCCGTTAGGGATTACAAACGAACCACCCCTCTCCCAGCGGGATGCCTTCTAAACACGTCGATAATAAGCTGACTACTTAGGGCCGAAAGGGAATTCTCGAATTCTTAATACCCCAGCGCGGAGGTTCGAGTTTTCTTGTTTAGCAAAGCAACAATAGCCGTTCCGGGCTAATGTCATCTCGAAATTTTCGGATATAAACACGCCGATCGTTCGAGTTCTATCGCATTTCGAGATGTAATAACCTAATCAGTCAACGCTTTCTCCTCTATCGATTCCATTAATAATTCGCGATGAAACAGAAACTCGCTATTCTCTCGGTCTGACCCTAATTGCTCGCAGTCGAAGCCGCAACACGTAAGAAACGGACATCATTAGCGGAACTCTCTGCGAGAATCGCAACAATTCCGGTAATGATCTTTATTAATCCGGCGGATCGCGCCCTCTGGAGTGCAGCTCTTCGATTCTTCCATTGTTTTCAATGGACCGCGCGTTGTTCGACTGTCACTGGCCATTGTTCAATGACTGATAGAGTCATCAGGATCTCTTGATTGAAAATTTGTTATCAAGTTCTGTATAGAGGTGGATGCATACAGCACATTTTTGATAAATATGACTATTACAATTATATTTCACTAATTTATTTAGAAAAGTTGGTAATTTCTGAATAGGAGAGTACCGGGATTTTCTGTATTGTCTGCACTATTATAATTTGAAGAACAGTGCTGATATTTTTATAACAGTTAATGGAGTTCCAACTCCATTAATATAAGCAATATCGCAATTAACTAAACGTTGTTTCCAATGGTGAAATCATTTGTCACTTGCACGTATCTCTGCGGGTATAGATTTCTTTTCTCTTTCGTTATTCCCCTGTCCCAATCATTTGTCAGTAAGTGTATTATATTGCTTGTTTTATAGATAATAACGACCAGCGAATGGTCCGAAAATAGCGCCTGTAGTAAAACATTGAGTATTGGAAGGTTTTTGAATTATTCGATACCTTCCAAATGTTTATTCATAAAAGTTCTGCGAACAGGCGCCCGTGACAAAGCACAAAATGGATCCCGAAACGTGGCCCTCTCGTCATTGTTGGTTATTTCTTACTAACCGGATTAAATAGATTGTTATCTTTCTCCAATAAACTGACAAGATGACAATGCAAGTCTGCGACGCGGTTAGCCCGGGGTTGAGAAAAACAAACGAGCGGATCGCCGGCGCCAAACTTCCGCCGCAGAGTTGCCAACATATGTGAAATGTCACCGCATCACCGGAGTAGGTAAAATAGAACTTAAACCCCCCCAGTATTGAATTTCTACGTACACAACGCTGTGTTCTTTTCTATTATTTAAATAAACATACACTTAAAATGTTTTCGAATAGGTTTTTGAGAAAGTTTAAGGGGTTTGTTTTGTGCAAATATTTTAGGAATACGTCGAAGACTTTTGTAACGCTATACTTGACCTATACACGTCAAAACATTGTGTACACCTACTTTACTTTTATTGAGACGCAAACACAGGATATACAGGAATAAACCCCACGGGAAAATGGATACTTAAGTATATAGAAAAAAAGAAAGACCAAATTGCTATGTCGAAATGTCTTCTTAGCCACGCACATTAAATGTATATTCAAATGAATGTATTGTTTGTACTCGCCTGAAACATTGATTTTCGATTTGGTCCTAATGTTATTTCTTGGGCGGTGACCAATATGGAAAAACGTCATGTACACTATCAAACGTATAATGAACGATCCAGTCATTTATATAGTATACGTGAATAATGGTTTTGTGCGCTAGGGCTACCGCCCGAAATCGAATTCGCCCGACCCACTAAATGTCTAGTTTACATACAAGAATTCCAACCCCTTCGGCGTGTTTTAATAACGTTAAAACTCTATCACAGTGATCTCCGGCCTGATACGCAGTTTGCTTTAATTTGGAATCAAATCCGTCTTCTTTACATAATGGCATTGCATAAATATAGTTCCTATATGTATAAAATTAAGGTCTGCCCTAATATTGTAAATTCTTAAAATAAAATACCGATGTCAGACACATTTTGAACAATTGCTCAAAAAACTCAATTATTTTACCATACCTACTCTAATTTAGATTTACTAATTGCTATACTTTCTTACTCTAACCACACTAATATTTTAATAATCTTTCTTTGTTCAACCCATAGAATTGACCATATTGCAAACAAATTTGCACTTGCCCATGTAATGTAAGTAGTTTGGCTATTTTCATTTTCATTTTCAACTGTATAGTTACCCCATTCCTGTAATCTCGTCGACAAGAAAACGAAACAAACGAAATAATATACTAGCTAATTTAATTCTTATTTCGCATAAAAAGCAATAAAATTTCCCTCGTTAACAAAGTTGAATATACTGTAACTCTAATTTGGAACAAAGAGCTCGGCAAAGAGAGGCACAATAAAGATTCCATCATCGAACCAACTCATGTGTTCGCTAATACCCAAAACGAGGCGAGGTCTGTAGCATTGTCTTTGGTGCGGAATAATAGCAATATACCTTGGGTAGTGCGGTCTTTGATGATACGAGAGCCAAGTCGATGACGTTAACAGTCTATTCTGTAAACAAACTCGATTAGCATTAGCCCTGGTCTCGTTTCGCGCCCTCCGGCTTTCATTTCAATATCTAATCAACTCAATTCGGGTGTATGGGATTTGATAGAGATGCGTTTGCACGAAGATGTGGTAGAAATTCGTGCTGAGATCGAGTTAAAATCGACGAAATTTCGCTAATTATTCAGAACTTTTTGATTAAGACAGGTTACCGCTCACCATCGCTTTAATTTATTTATAATTAAAAATTTATAATTTAAAGAAATATTTGTTTAGAAATATAAACCTGAGTACCTAATCACATTTAAAGAGTACATTCGCTATATAAGAGGATAATACATAGCGCTATGGAAATAATCTCTATACAGGAGATTTATTGTAGATTATTTACAGCGTTAATGGTTGTAGCGATAAAGCCGAAACCACCGCGTTAATGAATATCTTAGGTTAATTAATGCATCTGTAAATTATGCAAACGAGAACGTTGTGTTGTACGTAACATTTAACCATTTAACTATTTAACAACGGGCTTTTTGGTGTTAAAATCCAACTAACTCGCATATAATTATTGTAACTACATGGGACAAAATTATGTAGTTAAAATTTTATAAATATGAACAGATTTAAAATTACCAACTATACCTTGTTTCTTATGAAGAATTAACATAACGATATATTGAGCATCTTATATGCAAAGAAAAAAGAAATCATTCAACCCCCGTATGCAAGCATTAAATTCAACCTATGTAATCGATAGCTACCTCTGTTGTATTCCCAGTAATCATTGTAATGCCAAACAAAACGACAAAAAAAAAGATATTAGGGGATCAATTTCGACGGGATGTCATTTAAAGATTCCAATGCTCATTGTATGCGGGCTTCGAATATCTTTATACGCGCTTGTGTTGGTAAAAGCAACGTGGTATTAACGCGACGTATGGAGTATCAGTAATCACAGGGTAACGCGAAAAGAGAGAAAGCAGGGGGCAGAAAACTGTTGTTATTAAATATAAACTTTCATCGGGAACAAAATTGACTTCTTTGAATAATGACAATGTTTCATTTAAGAGGAAAAAATAACGGGTTAAAGATAATAGGTAAATATTTAAACAAGCGTATCTGCCTACATCTAGTTTTGGTTTGATCTTTCCGATGTCGATAAAATTTAATTATTTGCTTAATGTAAGGTTTTCAAATAAGTACTAATCAATCATTTACATACTAACTAATAGATATTCGAAAACAATAAAATGATATTTATTTTAATTAACCCAAAATAATTTTATTTGGCTTATATTTTATTTTTTTAATTCTTATAATAATATCATTGACGGATTGGAAATAAAAATGAGCCTATTTACACGTATGACCCATTGAATATCGGTCTAATTCCATAAAAAATTTTAAGCTTGCATAAGTACAGGTTTCAACCGGTCGTGCATTCACTTCAACAACTTTATTAATAAAGCAACTGATTTTATTTTATACATCCTCCGAGGAAAGGCGATCACACGTTTTTTCAATTATTTATCCGTATGGGAAATTGAACCAGTAACAACTAATTAATCCCAATCGCGATTATTTACAACCTGATAGACTCGTTAAAATTAAAGAACAAGAAACTATACATGGTAGTCGTTTGAATTAAAAACAGTAGGTATATTTGCTTAGAATTAAGTTAACGGTAGAATATAATTATTGTCCTTATGATAGCGTTTACAATCGAAATTTAAAATCCAATAGGTTTTTTTGGTAAAATTTGACAATGATAATATTTAGTAACGTTTCGGTTTGTTTTGATGTTATTAATGAACTCTCGTAATTACAAAGAAATAATTTTCCTTTTTAAGTTACTTTTAGATAGCCAAATAAATAACTTTGATATGAATTTGTTATCTACACCATCGCTTTTACTATAATTAAAAGAGGTTTTTAATGAAATTAGGAAACA